ATCAACATAACCCACCTGAATCGAGCTTCCTTCATTCATGTACCATACTTTCAAAACACACACCTCATTCCTCTGTCAGACTCTTTGCTCTGATGCTTTAAACAAAGTCACCTGCCAACTGTTAGGACTGCTGGATGCAGAGATCATTGTCCCACACCAGCTGATGTTGCCAGTTTGCTTTCAATCCAAGATAAATTATGTCAGTTGTAGGTAGATTTGTAGAACAGAAGGACAAGAAAATGGGGGAAGGAGATGTAGAAACATAATGCATGTTGTTGCTTGTTCATACAGCACCTAGCAGTGATAAGTCTACAACAGCTTGGTTTAAAACCCTCTGAACTCAGAGGAAAGGTTTTCTTTGGCTTTGCTGAGCTTTGGGACAATCTCTGAAATAAGAGCCCAAGCAGAAATCACTGCATATCAAGTGAAAATCAGAGAGATTTATGAGTGTGCTGGCTAAGCAAATGAGGAGGGCAGAAGGCAGAGACTTAGTCTAATTGCTTTAATATTACCCAGGTGGTGACTGAAAGGACCCTGTCTGCTGCTCTACCCGCTGGATATTACGGGTTCTGCCTCTCATTCTGTAAGGATCTAACAGGGTCATCTTGATTTGCACCCCGGGATCGGTGGAAATTGTATTGATTTATAGTTGAAATTCACCACTCGCACAGGAGAGATGCTGACAGTTTTACTGCAAGTTAATAAGAAACTGCTGTAAAGCTCTGAGAACTGGTAATTCAGAAACTTCTATCTGGGGACCATAAATCTAAAGATCTACAAAATCTCTTTATTTGGGCAAGGCCTGTGGGCTTTCTGGAAAGCACATTTGTGCCATAGGAATTTGTCACTCCAACCCAAGTTGTGGGGGACAGAACACACCATCATTTATGGGAAAGATGGTGGGATATGAGGAGGGGGTGGTGACTGATTCCCTGCTGTAGCCAAGGAATGCCTGGAGAACAAGTAACGTTTATAGAAAAGCAGTCAGCTATACCATTGTTCAAGGCAGACTTAGGCTGCTAAAAGGTTAGTGTCTCTTGCTATAGAGGAAAGGGTTTGCAGACAGTGCCGGATGAAGTCAAGAACCATCATCATGTAAAATTGCAAGGAAGGAGAAACTTCTAAACCTGAATCTCAGGACATGATCTATTCACACAGCACAAAAAACATGTACACAGAGAAGTAAAAGCTGTTGGCAACTGCTGTGACAGAGGAAAATTCCTGATTCTCCCCCATAGAGGAGAAATGATCCATCTCTCATCCCCTTGGAGGGGAAATCAACCCCCTACTTGGGCCAGCTCACAGCTCCTGAGTGTCTGCAGATGTGAGGCAGAGCAAACAGGCAGAAAGTGCAAGGTCCTTTCACTGCATCAACTCCTACCTAACAGTGATGGAGAGTGGAGGGGGAGAAATCACTGGGAAAATGAGTGCTGCCAGGAGGGGAGGAGATGACTCTGGAGGAGTTGCTGCACTCAGGGAGGACCCCTCTCCTGAAGGGTCACCTGTAGGGCCAGTTGTAACCAGTTCCCTTATCAGAGCCGGGGGGCAGAGTGTGGCACTCCGGCTCCTGCGGGGATCTGGCAGGAGGCAGCTGAGCTCCCTCCGGGCACAGAGTGGGGATATAAGAGGTATCCATGAGAGGCAAAGCAGCCGAGCTGGGTTGGGATAGGGAATAGGATAGGATAGGATAGGATAGGATAGGATAGGATAGGATAGGATAGGATAGGATAGGATAGGATAGGATAGGATAGCATAGGATAGGATAGGATAGCATAGGATAGGATAGGATAGCATAGGATAGGATAGCATAGGATAGGATAGCATAGGATAGGATAGCATAGGATAGGATAGGATGCAGCTCCCGGCTCTCTGCTGCGGGGCCTCGCTGCTGCTGCTCGTCCTGCCATGGGCAGGAGCGCAGCCGGCCGGCGGCGAGCGCGGTGCGGAGCTGCGGTCCCTGCAGGTACCGGGGCCGCCACCCGCACCCGTCCCGCCGGGCGAAGCGGGCAGGAACGGGGCTCCCCGTCCCCCCCGCCCCTCCTCCCCTCTCCTTTCC